TTGCTGTATAACCTATAGTGCAACCCCTTCCTGTGACGCATGTCTACCTGTAATTAGTGGGCTTGCATGCCCCCAAAAGGTATATAGGCCTGGGTTAGCAATAGAGATCTCTCGCTTCTCTCTTCCCCCTCCCCTCTCCAGTCCTCTCTGCCTTGTTCCCTTTCCCGTCCTCCTTCCCTTCCCCCGCCTCCACGTGGACCACCAAGTGGGGCTGAGGTGAGCAATGCTACCATGTAATGTGTCTGACTGCATCATTGTAGTATCTCTTCTATCTCTCATGCTCTCGATGACTTTAATATGATATAATATACATCTCAACCGTACAGTTGTGTTTACTGAACCATTAACTAGTGGTGGGGCCTGGCCCCCCAACATTACACTACAGCTCTCCACTTAAGCCCCTGGCATCAGCGCCTCGTTGTTTCTTCTTTTGACACGAGTCCACGGTGCTTTCTCGCGTTAGATGACGCAAAGCTGGTGTTTATTCCTATTCAGCAGTTTCTACTCGGGGCTCGGTGACGTCGAGCAGTAGGTAGTGTTGGTGACAGTCTTCACACTAAGCCAACAGGCTCATTGTTTCTGCTCTGGTAATCCATCCTCACGATGGAGACGCACTGTCTCCCAAAGAGAAAGTCGTGGTGGTGCTCTGGGCGGCAGTTCAAACCCACCAGCCACTCCTAGGGAGAAAGATGCGGCTGTCTGTTTCCCTACAGACTGACCGTCCGGGAAGCCCTGAGTAGGGTCTCTGGATGAGTAGTAATCAGCCCCGTGGCTGCGGATTGCTTGGGTCTCCCTCTCCCTCAGCTCTTGTTGTGGCTGTTAGGTGCCACCCAGTTGGTTCGAAGGAGGGGTGTGTGTGTGTGTGTGTGTGTGTGTGTGTGTGTGTGTGTGCACGCACTCGTTATGGGTCAGCCTTGTCTGGGTGGTGGTGAGTGAGTGGGTCGGCTCTAACTCCGGTGACCTGCTGTACAGACATCCTTTTCGATTTTCTAACTCTAGGTCTTTGTGCATTTCATATTCGACGTTATCTTGTTTTAATTTAATCATTTTATTGGGGGCTCGTACAACTGTTATCACAATCCAGACATCCACCCATTGTGTCGAGCACATTTGCACATTTGTTGCCCTCCTCATTCTCAAAGCATTTGCTTTCCGCTTGTGAGCCCTTGGTATCAGCTCCTCAGTTTTCCCCTCCCTCCCCACTGCCCCCTCCCTCATGAACCCTTGATCATTTATAAATGATTATTATGTTGTCATATCTTACACCGTCCGACGTCGCCCTTCACCCACTTGTCTCTTGCCCGTCCCCCAGGGAGGAGGTTGTAGGTAGATCCTTGTCATTGGTTCCCCCTAGACTGTGTGTTTTTCAGCCGCCTTTTGAAAGTTCCGTTCAGCTCTTGGACTTCAGCATTGCTTTCGTTTGCCTCAGGTACTCAGTGCTTTAGCGAACGCTTCCGAGTCTCTGGGCACCGCTTTGATTCTTTTCCTTCTTTCTTGTCTTTTTTAACGGCCTTTTGCTTTCCTCATGAATGGTCTTCTTGATGTCCTCTCGTAGCCATCAGGTCATCTGTCGTTCGTGTGCGATGCACAAGATCGGTTCTGGAGAGGGCTTGGGCCGGGCCGGACCAAGGCAGCCCCTTGGACCAGCTTCTCTTGAAGACAAATGACCAGGCTGAATCTCAAAGCACCTGAGCTTCAAGACACAGAGCTTACCTCCCCGACAGAACACAGCCCCCTCTCCCTAGCATCGTTCCTAAGAATAAGACAACCTGCCGGGACAGACACAGCCCCTCTCCCCCTAGCATCCTTCCGAAGAACAACATGATTTCCTAACAAAGCGTCACCTGGCCTGAAACTTGCAACCGCGGCACAGAGAACCTCTCTCCCCCTTATCGGCTCCTGTGCTTTAAGCTCATGCCCCATGCATGTCCTGCCGCCCCAGTACCAGGTGCGACTTCCCTGACCCAACTCCTTGGGTTGCAGAACCCGCCCAGGGCGCAAGATGCCTCCCCCACCCCATCCCTTTCCCTGCTCTCCCTTCCCTCCTGGGAGTTCTCTGCCTGCCTCAATAAAGTCGTTCTCAGCTTCACCTTCCTGGCTAAATTCTATCTCTTGTTCCATGCCTCCGTCTCCAACCTTTCAGAGATATTCTCGAAATTCAACTGCAATAGACCCAAAGCTGTTATTTTGACTCCAGTAATGTGTCTGACTGCATCATTGCAATATCTCTTCTATCTCTCATGCTCTCGATGACTTTAATATAATATACATCTCAACTGTACAATTGTGTTTACTGAACCCGTAACTAGTGGAGACAATTGGTTGTGTGGAAGTCATTTTGGTTGACTGGCTCCACTTTCGGTCCTTCCAATTGTGGTCACTCACGACTTTCCAGGTGCGGTCAGCGTCATTGTGATCACTCGGGCCTTTCCAGGTGTGGTCAGCGTCATTTCGGGGGAGAGGGTGACTTTGTTAGAGAAACGAAACTCAGGCCTGCCTTGAGAGGCTTGGCCCATCATGGAGTCACCGCTGCCTTACATACACTTGGAGGTCAATGCAAGCCGCTTAGAGGTTAATCCCCCTGAGGGTTGTCAGCCATCTAGAGCAAACGGACTGTATAGTCTGTCCCACGCTAAGTAGGGCCCACTCCCTTCTGATAAGGGTAGTGGATTGCTTCCCTGAAGGAGAGCCCAGAGACAAGGTAGAGCCCACTCAAGGGTGACCAAGGTTAGGCTGCCAGCTTGAGTCAAGGGCCCGCCCATCTTGTCACATGTGTACCCCTAATACCTCCCCTTCCTATTGTGTGTGCACCCCTAGATCATCCCCCTCCCATTGCTTGTATTGCCTACGCTACAATCCCTTCCTGTTGCATATGTGGTCACCTGTAATCAGGGGGGCTTACATGCTCCCTAAAGATATATCAGCTTTGGTTAGAAATACTCCCTCCCCCCAGCTCTCTGCACGGACCTGCCTGCTGCTGAGGACATGGTCATCCGGAGGTGAGCATGCTACCATGAAATGTGTCTGATTCCTTTAGTTTATCTTATCTCCTATCTCTCCTATTCTCTGACTTTACTATGATCTTTATACATTATCGCCATACAATTATGCCTACAGCCCCCATGATTGTCACAGGCTGGTTACTCTGACAAAGAATTATCCATGCATCTTGATTGCACGTTTGGTCAACTTCAGACTAGAGACGCTGGTAGACTTCTATTTCTATATCACTAGCTTTAGTGTTTGGTGCTTACTTTGAAACTAGTTGTGTGGATTGGATTTCCTCAAAGGTGGAGAGGTATAATCCTATCACAAACAGTATTCATTATACTTCAAGATCGATGTTGAAATGTGTCCCTCTTGATTGTCGCCCCCGGCACGGTAGACGATAAGATTTTCTGATACAAAATGGCCCAAGCTAGTCCATGTCGTTGATCTTTATGTGTTCCATTTCATCCTTTGAAGACTTCCAATTTCCCTGACTCATACTTTGTACATTTCTTTTTTTTTTTTCCCCTCCCTTATTTACTTCGTACAGTTCAAGTTCCAATTACTGGATTTTTTTTTTACAGCTGTTTCCTCCCATCTTGAGTTGTTCCCCATTAGAAAGTGAAGGTCCCACGGCTCTCCTCCCCCTGGCTTTATGCCCCCCATCATGTCACCGTGGTCACTCTGCTTTGAGACAGCAGCTCCTCCTCTGTCACATTTCCACTGTCTTCTGACCCCAGGGGCCCGGCCTGTGGCCCTGTCACCAGCGACTTTCTGC